GGAGTTGATTACCAGTCCCATCATGGGGAATACTACATCCAGCTGCCCAGCCACTCAACCAGGCCCAGTCAAGTTGACACAAAAACATAACCACCACACACACAGTAAATCCCATTAATGGAACTATTATTATTGTTGTTGTTGTTATTAATAAGAACAATGCTTGTTCTCATCATTGACCTCCTTTCTAGTCCCAGTCCAAAAGCAATGAATAAAATCCAGAATCTTGCTCACTCTTACTATTTTTTTTTCTTACAATACAATCAGAGAATTTTTTTTAGAGTTGGTTTTGAATTCACCGATTCCAATCCTCCTGTTTGACAGATAAGAAGAGAGAGGACCAGAGAGTAGATCTGACACATCTGTAGGCTCACCAAGCCTACAGCACCATGCAGCCCAGAAACACTATAGGAGAAGAGGACCAAAGAGCATTATGACAGCATGTCAGTCAATTCTTCATTAACACAAAACAAAACAAAAAACCAAGGAATAGGTTAAGTCAAAAGATAAGTTCAGCAAGCCTAAGGTGAGGCACAAGACTAAAACTTACACACATACCTCCCAAGTTTAGTTCCTCTTTGCTGCAAAAGAATTGCTTGCTTTTCATTCCTTTGGTGGCAGAAGGCCATTGGAAGCCTCCTTGATCTGAAAGGCAGCCTACAGTTTTTGTACTTACTCAGCTGTTGGTGGGAAGAAGCCATAGTTTTCACTTCCAGACATGAAATGGGTCTGATCTACTTCAGTAAAGTTTCTGACCCTAGCAGTAAAGTCCTTTAATCTCCACAACATGACTTGGCAAATTCAGGACACTCCTACTTCAAATTTCCCAAAGTTTCCAACCTTTCTGGCTTAGACCTCAAGTGTAGAGGGTAGAGGTGAAGAAGGAAGAAAGACAGTCTACCTGCTCCACTTTTTCTTTAATTAATGATGGAGATGATAGAAGGTGCCAATGATACAACATTAGGGAGGAGGAACTGACATTGTTGAACATGAAGAAATGTGATAGCAGGAACCTCCCTGGATGTCTGGTTCTGGGGCCCTTGGGTGCTCCATTTGCCCTTGCACCCTCCTTCTCCACCCGTGAGTTAGTCAGGACATTGCTATAGATAAACTAGTCATGATAAGGCTGGGATTTGTAAATTAAAGTACAGCAGCACTCAGAAACCAAGAGATGTTTCCTTTCTGCTTAGCACAAAGCTGGTACTGGGGTCCAGGACAAGCCCTGCTGCGGTGTAGTAAATTACATGGTATGGCTTTTCTAGCCATAGCTTTGTAACTCCCACTTTGTTGTGAGCAACTGAGTAGCTGATTGTTAAAGTTATCCACCTGATGTATTTCTGTTGGAGCAGCAGGAAGCAATCTTCTGGGAAGTTTGCTCTCTCTCAGGTGTGTAGAATTCTGATGTTGGGATAGGTTAGTTTTGCCATTCTGCCAGGCTCAAAATGAGCCCTCCTAGAGGCAGAAGGATTCTCTCTGACTGCCGGCTGGGAGAAGCATGCTGCTGAGAAAGATGTACTGCTAAGAGAGAGATGTGAGAGAGACGTGCTGCTGAGAGACATGCTACTGAGAGAGAGACTGTGTTCATGAACTTGAATTGTAACCTGTTGCTTCCCTAATGAAGCCCATAATCTGTGAGTTCTGTGTGGCCACTGCCGCAGACTATCGAACCCAGCAGAGAGGTGGTCAGTACTGAGAGAGGGATGGTTGGTGTCAAGGTTAGTAAGAGGGGTGGAGGGTGGCAGCATGTCTGGCCTCCTAAGAGCAGGCCTTGGGCTGCTGGTGGTGATTCTGTCTTTCTCTTGTGTAATTAGAGAAGGTCAGAGGATGCTGTCTCCTCGCCCCTTTCACACCTGACTCTGTACATTTTACACCAATTTTAAAATGGTAGGCACTCATAGCCTGATTTGTTGTTGTTGTTATGTGCTGTCAAGTCGGCCCCAACTCACAGCAACCCCTCTTTGGGTTTCTGAGGCAGTATCACTATGGAAGTAGATTGCCCAACCTTCCTGCCAAGGAATGGCTGGTGGGTTTGAACTGCCAGCCTTCTGGTTAACAGTCAAGTGCCTTAGGCACTATGCTACCAGAGCTCCTATCCTGAAGGGAATGTAATTTAGCCTGGGTGTAACTGAATCATTGTAATGACCCAGTGTCATAGCAAGATCCACTATTAAAAGTTTGTTTGGTGGCTTAACTTTCAGCTAAACAATAGACAAGTCTACCAGCTGAACAACTATACCAGGGAGATACACTCCTTAGAACAGTCAACCATGGGAGACCAGAAGGGCAGTATTTGCATAGGAGAAAATGAAAGTCAAGACTGCATAGGTAAGGACACAGGAAAGGGGTAATCACAGGGAGGAGATGGGAGGAGAACTGTTAAATTATGGGTATTGTAATCAGTGCCACAAAACAAAATGTGTATGAACTGTTGAATGTAAAACGAAAATGCTTTGTAAAATTATACCCAAATCACAATAAAAAGTTAAAAAGAAAAAAGAAAGTTCATTTGGACTTTGGTTCTGTCTAGAAACCTTCCTTTGTCTCTTATCTACCTGGCAAGTACCTGGTCATCTTCCAAGATCCAAAGGTACCCACCTGTGAAGTTTTCACTGACTGCTCCAGGAAGAGTTTGTCCTCTGAGCTTCCACAGTACTCTGCTCAACTCTTTTCAGCACTTATCCCACTTTAAAACAATCATGTGCTTACCCCTCAGCCCTAACTCTCAAAGTGTTACATCTGCATTTCCAGCCCCAACAGTGCCTATAACACAGATGCCTAATCAATGCTTGCTCAGTCAATGAATGGGCATTGAAGAACCTTGAGACAGCTTCAGGAGAGTTTCTCAAATGTACCACTGGGTCCTCAGGCCTATATCTGTGCTGACAGAACCTTGGAGAAGCCCCCAAGGTCTTTGTGTCCTCTGAGTCTGAGTTTTCTTGCTTCATGTCTGCCTCTGCTCCTTTTAGTTCAATACACTACTGACTTCTACCTCCTCTTCTCTTCCTTTTGGCCTTGAGGCTATGACACCATGTTGCTTTCCCAGGATCTTTCCCACTTGTATCACAATCCAGAACAGAACAGTCCTGTTAGCACAGAGGGACCAAGAGGAATGTTCTTCAGATGTTTCACTGTTGGATGTGGGATCCACCCTTCTCCTTCTCTGCTTTCACTATAGCCCAACACTGCCTCATAAGGTACCCTTCAAGCAATGATGTGCTGATAAATGTTTAACAACCAATTTGGGATTGGGGTGGGTAAGGGGAGAAGGAGTTCTTATTTGCAGCGTTTGCCAATTTTTGTGGTGCAAATACTTCCACTATGGCTAATTTCAAGCTACTGATGTGATGTCACTGGATGGAAAGTTGTACAGTAGCACACCATTTTATAGTATTTTTACCCTGCAGATACAATAGTCATAAATAACTTCAAGAACATAGAGATACAATGTAGTAAAATAATTAGGAAGTGATGAGTCTAGAGTACTTATTACCTTTGTTTCTAATATAATTTTTTGATGTGTAGGTTTACACAATTTAAATCTTAATAATGACTGTGTTTAAGAACTGTTGTGTAAGACACCTAAAAATTTAGCAATTGGCTCTTGCAAGCCTGTACAAGCTGACACAAATCAGCTCCAAAATATCACAACTATGGAGCTAATACTCAATGAATCCTATCTGGTGGCTAGGGGGTGCCCTGTCCCTCCTGCCTAGAAAGAATTTGATGCCTTAGGTGTTCTCTGGTTTGGGACTAGACTTAATTTTCTGGTATTTTCAAATGTGTCCATCAACTGAGAATATTTTTAATTTGTATGAGTCTGCTCTTATTTTTGTAAGGCATGAATGAGTTGATTGTCTGAAATTTTCCAGGGTTCTTTTTTCTCTCTTAGGTTTTGGTCCATGTTCAATTACCAGCCAAGCTGACCAGTTTCTGTGGCAACAGAAGCACAGCCACTTTCATCATCCCCACAGTCTCCTCATCTTATCCCTCTGCCTACCCACTTCCTTCCCCTAGGACACAAAAAGGGCAGGCAGGCAATTTCACAGGCTAGGAGATAACAGTTAATTTTTCTAAAGGGTGGTTTTACTCTGATGACCGCTATCTTTTAATGATCCTAGGATAAGAATACAAATCCATGTAACAACGATCACCATCTCTCCATCATCATGATGACAACTACCAATTTACCACCAACTATCACATTAAAAGGAGCACTGGTGGCATAGTGCCTAAGGCATTTGACTGCTAACCAGAAGGCTGGAGGTTCAAACTCACCAAGCACTCCTCAGAAGGAAGACTGGGCAATCTACTTCTGCAGAGATACTGCCTCGGAAACCCAAGGGAGGGGTCTCTATGAGTCAGGACCAACTTGACGGCAGGGAGTTTGGTTTGGTTTTTGGATCCCGTTAAAACTCCACAGCCACACAATCATCACACCACAACCAGCACCCACTTAACCACCCCAACACTATCATATCACTACCTATATCCACGACTACCATGCCCACACCTTAGCCAACCACCATCACTTCCACCACCACCAGCATCCACTTAAAATACTTCACAACATAGCCACATCACCATCACCTTTACCACCAACAGCACCCACTCATTACCACCCCCATACCATAGATCACACCACCATCATCTCTACCATCAGCAGCACCCACTTACTACCAGCCCCACACCAGAAACATACTACCATCATACCAGCATCCACTTACTACCACTCCCCAACATCATAGCCATACCATCAACACTCAACCATCACCCTTCTTCCTTTAATGAAAACACTTAATGATCAAGCAGCTACTGACAGCCCAGTAAGCCCTGTGGATTGCTGGCTTGGCTCACCCTGTCCCATGGCTACAGGCTGCTTTTATCCACTTGACCACGGGAAATGCCTATCTTGAATTGTTTCTTCTGGGATCCTCTTTGAATTTGTCTTCCTGACGGAAAATGATAGAGGTACTTTTGTTGGTTTAAGAATCTGTAAATAGTGGAGAGTCCCTCCACTCCTCCTGTGATCTCCTTGACAGGTTTCTTCTCTCCTACTTCTTCTACACTGGTATCTCTTGGACCAGCTGTTGGGAGTAACCCATTTTCATTTTATCTCTTTTACCACGAGGCCCAGACAAGGGTATGACTGGTAGGCCTGGAGTGGGGAAGATCTTCTAGCTGTAGAAGCCCAGGATAAACCTCCACAAGAGGTTTCAAGAGACCCTCAGACATGTTATCTGGGAAACCCTGGAAGAGAGGGCTTCACAAACAAGACACCCATATCTAACTCTGAATCTCAAGACCTAAGCATGGCATGAGCCATAACTTGCTAGATGTTCATGAGCTGTTTGGATCATATCAAGATAGAACATGTATGTCTGCAGATTTGTCTGTGTGAAAGAGATAAGGAGGTAGAATTTATTGGTGAAAAAAACAAACAAACAAAATGCCCTAAAAGCAGAAGCCAGGGTATTAACTCTTCTAAGCCTACCTGGTTTAGAATACTCTACCAGAGAAGATTTGTAACCATCTTGAGACTTAGGGCCTATGTCTTTTATAATTCTCCTTGTTTAGTCACTGAGGAGCCAAAAGAGAGGATCTTATATTTAGCTCTCTTTGGTGTTTTAAATCCCAGCTTTTGCTTGAACTTCTGAGGCTATTAGCAGAAGCACCCTCAGGATGAGCTGTATTTGCCCGCATAGTGCCTAAGGCATTTGACTGCTAACCAGAAGGCTGACAGTTCAAACCCACTAGCCACTCCTTGGAAGGAAGGTTGGGCAATCTACTTCCGTAGTGATCCCGCCTTGGAAACCCAAGGAGGGGTCACTATGAGTTGGATCCGACTCAACAGCAGTGAGTTTGGTTTGGTTTTTGTATATGGAATATTTATACCCATTGTTACTGCATTGATCCTAACTCATAATGACCCTATAGGACATAGTAGAATTGCTACAGAGGGTTTCTAAGATTGTAAATTTTCACCGAAACAGACTGCCACTGTGGCTGGTGGGTTCGAACTGCCAACCTTTCAGTTGCTAGCTGAGCTCTTAACCACTGTGCCACAGAGCTCCTACAGAAGGATATAAAATAAACAACAAATAACATTGGTTGCCTATGGGGAGTGGAGCTGGAGGGTGGGGTAAAAAGGTGATTTTCATGCTGTTTACTCCTATGTCAAAGACTTTGAACCATTATACCTATTTGAATAATCATATTATGTAAGAAATAATTTAAAAAAAAACAAACCTTCTGCCCTTCTACACTCCAAGAGTCTTCATGAGAAATGAAGATGAAAAATTTTCATTATTTGAATATGATATGATTTTTTTTCATGGAAAACACAATTGTGATTGATGTTGTTAGGTGCAATCGAGTCAATTCCGACTCATAGTGACCTTATGTACAACAGAACCAAACACTGCCTCTTCCTGTGCCACCCTCACAATATTTGAGCCACTGTTGCAGCTACTGTGTCTATTCATCTCATTGAGGGTCTTCCTCTTTTTTGCTGACTCTCTACCAAGCATGACATCCTTCTCTAGGGACTGGTCCCTCCTGATAACATGCCCAAAGTATGTGAGATGTAGTCTTGCCATACTCGCTTCTAAGGAGCATTCTGACTGTACTTCCAATACAGATTTGTTTGTTCTTGTAGCAATCCATGGTTTATTCAATGTTCTTTGCCATATGCACAGCCATGTTTATTGCATCATTATTCACAATACCAAAATGATGGAAACAACCTAAGTGTCCATCAATGGATGAATGGATAAACAAATTGTGGTACATACATACAGTAGATACTACACAACAACAAAGAACAATGATTGATCTGTGAAACATCTCACAATATGGATGAATCTGGAAGATATTATGCTGAGTGAAATAAGTCAATCACAAATTGGCAAATAATGTATAAGACCACTATTATAAAAGGTCAAGAATAGATTTACACACAGAAAGAAACATTTTTTGATGGATACCAGGGATGGGAGAGTATCTCAATTCTTTAGCGCTGCTATAACAGAAATACCTAAAGTGGATGGCTGTTAACAAACAGAAATATATTCTTTTACAATTTAGGAAGCTAGAACTCCAAATTTAGAGTGCTGGCTCTAGCAGCTGGGTGAAGCCCCTCAATCTTGGGCTTCAGCTCTGCCTCTTGTTCCAGGGCTGCTGGAGCTGGAGGCATCTTCTAACTCATGCAGCTGCTGGCTGCTGAGGCTGATGAACCTAAGATTGCCCGATAAAATGGCACAATCCCAAGATTGACAGGCCACTGGTTCAAATACAGGAACTGGAAATGAAGACTCAGCCAATAGCTAAGCCCTTTCCCAAACTGGAAGCAGGCCACACTCCAAAGATAACTCCCTTTCAACTACTCTCACAGCAGATTCTACCACGGAGGTGATTACAATCTCATCGTGGGGAAAAACTACATCCAGCCACCAAGCCACTCAAAACCACAGCCTAGACAAGTTGATATACAACTTTAACTACCACAGAAGGGAAGGGAGGGAGAATCACTAACTAGATAGTAAAATGGATTGTTGCATGAAAAACTAATCTGTTGTGTAAACTTTCACCCACAGCACAATAAAAATGTTTTAAAAAAGAAGGAAATAGAAAATCTTACTAAAAACAAAAAATATCTATTATAGAAATTGAATTTATAATTTAAAACCTTCCCACAAAAAAATTCTAATTTTTCCAAAAAAAGAAACATCAATGCTATGGAAATTCTTCTGGAGAACAGAAATGCTCTTTTTTTTCTTTTTTTTTTTTTTAGATAAGTTTGATGAGGCCAACATAATCCAGATACTAAAATCTGAAAAAAAAATTATAAGAAAAATTAAAGACCGATGTATATATATATTGTATCCATTTTTTAGATAAATGATGTATTTCTCAATTAGAAATTTTAAAGACTAAAAATAAAAATAGAAAGAAATTTTCTTAGAAATAAAATACATAAATTTCCAGATTAAAAAATGCATGAAATACTAATTCAATGAAAGAAACACTAAAAAAGTTTCAACAAATTTGAGGAGACTTTGGATAAAATGGCACTACCAGAGCGAGACACAGATCATATGTAAAGCAGCTGGAATCAAAATGGTATCACAAATTAAACGAGTAATGATAGATATTAAAAGAGAATACAAAATAATTCAAACATTTTGAGAATGATTTCCATTGTAGAATTCTATGCTCAGATAATCTACCAAATAAGTGTGATACTGCTGAAGACCTCCAAAATGTATCTCTCTCTTAAAAGCTAGCAAGCTGCCATCTAGAGGCAAAGATGTGTCTCTCCTCATCCAGAGCAAAGAAGAATGAAGAAAAACAAAATTCATGGAAACAATTAGTCCTAGCGACTGGTACACCATCCAATCTGCAGCCTATACAACTATGAGACCAGAAGAACTAGATGGTGCCCGGCTACCACTGTCATCCACTTGGAAGGGGATCTATGTAGGAGATCCTTGATAGAGAGGGAGAACAATGTGGAACAAAACTCAAAATCATTTGGAGGGGGAAAAAAAAAGGGGGGGGTGACCAGGTTTGCTGGTCCGATAGAGCCTGGTGGAACCACTGAGACTATGGCCCCTAGCTGCCCTTCAAGTCTGGAATTGAACCCACACCTGTGGTTTCCAGCCAAACAAAATACAAGCATATGAGTTAAACATTTACCTCAAGTAGATACACTCCTTGGAGAGAACAATCATGGGAGAAAGAAGGGCTGCTTATGCACAGGGAGACAGCTCAGGGGGCAGGAGCGTATGGAGGGGTGGACACTGGGAAGAGGTAACTATGGGGAGGAAGTGGGAGGGGAGCTGTTGCATTGTGGTAAACTGTGGTCCATGACATGAGACAAAGTATATGTGAACTGCTGTATGGAAAGTGAATTTGCTCTGTAAATCTTCACCCAAATCACAATAAAAAATATATATATAAAATGTATCTCTCATGCACCCTTTCTCAGGAAACCACTTCTTGTTGTTATGATGTGCCCTTGAGTTGGACCTGACTTATGGCAACCCCTCCTTGTGTTTCTGAGGCAGTATCACTACAGAAGTAGAATGCCCCATCTTCCTTTTGAAGAGTGGCAGGAAACCACTAGAGGATGTGTTTCACCAAAAGTGGGCAAAAAACCATGAGAAAAGAAGAAGCAGCAGGAATTCAAAGGAGAGAAGACAAAGGAATTCCTAGGATGACACAGCAGGTTTAGAGAGAAACTACATCAGACTGCAATAGAAATACAGAAGGCTTCCAGGAGAGTTACCACCAAGAAAAGAGTGGAGCAAATAAATTGGCTGATGTGCTTGACTGTCTGGGGAAGAGCTATTAGGGCCCATAGAAAATTAATCAAGTGAAATATTTACTAATTCTACAGGAGAAGGAAATCTAATTATAGTGTACTCTGTAGCTCAGCTACTATGTAAGTTCTGTATTAACTATGCATGTACAACTAACTATGTGTAATAATAGTGTAACTAAAACTAAGTTAATCACCCATTTGGGGGAGAATATATTATGAATTTGCTTGTGTTTGTATAGACTACTTTTGGCAAGTTACTGCCTCTAGGTAGCAAAATTCAGTGCATAAGGACGGAGCTTTCTCCTGTATACTCTTTTATAAGAGTATATAGTTTATAAGTATATAGTATATAGTTCCATGAGCATACATTATGTATCAACCTACAAGAACTAACAAAACTTTCAAGGAAATGAAAAGGGTGGCTGAAAGAACTGCTTTTCCCACTGAAAGACCCCAACTAAGAGGGCAATGTGGGGTCCATGGGCTGGATCCCCATTTGGGTTTGTTCTATTCCTGGAACTAGCAAAGAGAATCTTCTCTTT